ATTTTGTTGTTTCAACATAATTAAAATATTAATGACTATCTTATTTATTTCTTGGTTACAAGTCTCAGAGGCATATAGTGAGACTTTCACCTTCACAGAGGAACTGTGTTTTTGTTCATATTTATATGATCAATGTCTATTATAGACCTGCAAATAATATACATTCAAAGCAGTGTAAGGAATTATTTCCTTCCTTGGCTTTTCTTTGTCTTTTAGGACATTGATATTTCTGAAGTATACATGCCACTTATTTTATAGGGTATTCCTTATATTTTAATTCCTCTGTTGTTTCTTTATCATCTAATTCAGGTAAGGATTTTTTGGCTAAAATACTATTTAAGTGATGTTGTAGTCTTTGCAGAATATCACACCTCAAGATACTCCATGTCTATTTCTCACATTTTGGTGATGTTAATTTTGATCTCTTTGGTAAGGTGGTGGTGTTTGTTTTCTCCACTGTGTGATTTCTTTTGTAAATAAAAAACAATTGCGAGTAGATACTTTGTGACTATGTAAACATCCAACCCCACATCAAACTTCCCCCACTATGATTTAGTATCCACTGATAATTCTTACTTGAATAAATTTCTTATAAATTTTGATTTTTATGTAATTTCAAACTTAGAGAAAAGTTGTTATAATGGTGTAGGAATCATATATTTTTTACTCTGATTCACCAATTGTTTGCATTTGTTTTACATTTTTAATCTATAAAGGGATAATAAGAGTACCTATCTCACAGTGATATTAGTTTTCTTTGTCTATTTTCACTGAAAAGAGAGTTTTGTTTTATTTTTTTTATTGCTTTCTGTAACTAGTAAGTATTCTTTTATAATACTAGTTATCTCCCTTTTCATTTAAGGTTTCCAGATACTGATTATTTTCTGTAAAACTTTGTGTGAGTGTTTGTATGTGCATATTCCCATATATGAGATTACAATTTTTTTTTTTACTTTTTTATTCTGTCATATAGGCAAAGGACAAATATTTTTAAATCACAAAAGTCAATAGAAAAGGCTCTGGAAATTAAGAAAGTCAACCCACAAATACTTTTTAGTCATGATTCTAAAATTTACCTTTCCTTGTGCATACTCTGATTCATACAAATTCAATTAAACAGGTAAGATACAGAATGCCTACTATATGCTGGGTATTATTCTAAGTGCTCTGGATACAGTACTGAGAAAAAGGATAAAAACCTCTGTTCTCAAGGAGCTTAGAATCATAGGTGATAGTCACCAAACAAATAAATACTATAGATTAATATATTATGATACAGCACTGAGAAAAAGGACAGAAACCTCTGTTGTCAAGGAGCTTAGAATCATAGATGATAGTCAACAAATAAATACTATACATATTATGATAGCTTTAAGAAGATAAAGCAGAGTAAGTAGTGACATACATACATATCTACTTACTGGTTTTCTGTTGTTATCCAGGGTCTGAGAATATACTTTATGAATTTGTTGACCCTGCTTCTCCATCTCCTGGACATTTGTTATATCAGTCATTCTCATTCATTGTTAGTTGAGATCAGAGAAACTCTAAATTCTAATAAGAGTTCTTAACTTGGTTCAACTTGGGGAGTGGGTAGGGCATTAGTCTTTCAAAATTGGATGCAGTTCTGAATGTGTGTGCATTTTTCTGAGATTCTGTACCTTTCATTCAGTTATCAAATGGTCTGTGACCCAAAATATTTAAATGACTGCTCTATTTTGTCATTTCTTCCAGCTGCATGGCTAAGTAGTTTTGCGAATAAGTAACAAAGTCTTGATTAACATGAAGTTTGCAGACTAGCCATTCTGTTTTCATTTAATGACTTGTTGCTTTTTAATAATTTCCTAAAATGAATGTAATAAATATATTATGAATATAATAGTTTAAAGTAGTTTTTGTTTATCATTTTAAATGAAAATACTTGATAGTTTCTTGCATTGATGATATAGTTCTAAGTTGTATTTTCAAAAAGATAACATAATATGAACAAAGAAGGATAACTCATAGCTGTATTATAAATATACATGTATCTATTTAGAGAAAGATATAGAGAGATTGGAAAGAATATTGAATTAGAGAAGTCAGGAGAGGAGATACCACTAAATATGTGATGATATAGCATTTAATCCTTTGTAACAACTTAATGAGGTGGGTTTTATTGCCTCCATTTTGCAGATGAGGACACGGGCTTAGAGAGATGAATATATAACTTGCTTAAGGTCAACTAATATGGAACTCCACAGCTCACGCTCTTAACTGCTACTCAGTAAACTGAATGAAAACTAGGATAATGTTTACACATTATGAAAAGGGTTTCTGAACATGCTTTGGTCTGCAGATAACAAAATTTATTGTGTGTGTGTGTTGGAGTGTATGTTTGTATGTGTGTGTAAAGAATCAACCACATGCCAGCTCTCTAAGTTACAATCTTGCCTTCCACAGAGCCATATCCAAGTGGAAATAACTTTTTTCCCTCCTCTTGCTGACATTCATTTTCATGTAAATGCTCCCTCTTGAAACCTCATATATATTATGTGACTGATCACTTGTTTGAGAAGAATCTTTCAGTGTTGACTCGGTCAGAGGTGGTTGTAGGTCACACGGATATAAAGGGGAATGAGACTCCAGCCTTCTTTTGATGGAGATTACAGTTTACATTGCCTAATAATGTAGGCAAATTATTGCAATATACTGATCTAAATGCTAATAGAGAAGGATGCACAGTGCTGAGTGAACAGAGTGGCAAACTATAGAGGGAAGGGAAACCAGGAGGTGACACTGGAGCAAAAGAATAGACGTGAAATAGCATAGTGTGTTCTAGGAATGACATTTGGTTCAATGTGGCTAAATTATAGATAATTAGTAAGGTGTATTAGAACATAGGACTAGAAGGGTAATTAGGCATCACATGCTGAGGGATTTGTATAATAAGAACAGTTTGGATTTTATTTTGTGGGTAGTAAGAAGCTATTGGAGAATTTTAAGAAGGGAAATGGAATGATGGGATTGGGTTCAATAGGATGCAGGTAGCCCTCTTAGAAGACTACTGTGGCAGTCTGGGAAGAGATGGGTGATAAGGGTCTCAACTGGGTCATAAATTCTGGAAAATACTTGAAAGATACTATAGAAATAATTAGGTGGCCAAAATGCCTTATATTTATAATACTTTGCAGTTTCCAAAACATTTTGAATGTGCATTTTCTTATTTGTTATTATCAGTAACTCAGAAAAGAAGATAGTTCAGATAGATTTATTTCCATTTTATATGAGGAAATTGAGATCTTGAGAGATTATGACTTAGCCAGGGTTACATAGTTAGTGAGTGATAGTTTGAGCCATATAGCATAAGCTTCATAAGTTCAGGGCTGTTTTTAATTTCCCCACACCACCTCCACGTAGTGCCTAAGCACACGTTAATTAATGTCAAGGCTTCACCACAATGGGGGTATGTGTTTTAATTTAATCACTTAATATTTGTCTTCATCAGTTAAGTGCCTAAAGGACAGAGATAGGATCACTTAAGTAATGTCAGTGCAGTGTTGTACAAGTCCAGATGAATACCTGAAAGGTGCTTTTCAATTAAGATATGACATGTGTCAAGATGCTTTGGATATATGGGTGTGGCTATAACGTATTCCTGTTTTATTGGAGAATCTATTACATGTGACTTTTGAAAATAGTAGCAGGATAGTATTAAACACTATGCTTACTATAATCAGTGTTGAAGATGAGTACATCAAAGATCCTTACTTATTATAACATGCACCGTTAAATTGATTTTTTTACTTATTAGGTATTATAGATTATGTCTCTATAGTATCTTCCCTCCTTTTACCCATAATCTCTAAAAGGATCAGTGTCAGAAAGAACAGAACTGTATCTTTATTTTCTCATCACATCCTCTCTCGAATAGATAATACTTTCATTGCTCTCTTTCCAACTTGGCTTTGAGTCACTGCTGTGATTCTAGTTGTTGAACAGTCTTTCAAGTTAAGTGATTAGCATTCTGGTCAAGTAAAAATTGTTGTGAGGCTGCCATTCTTACCCAGTATAGCTAAGGTAGTTTTACTAAATGCATTGTTAGGGTCAGGTTCTCAGAGGCACATGACAATTGCATTTCACAAAACAGCCCTAAATATTGATACTTGAGTTTTACAGGAAATTAAATCTAAAATCTTATACTCCTGAGATTGGAAGTACCAATAAGCTGTCAAGTTCAATAAAGCCACATTTGTGCTGCTTAATATTCTAAAAAATTTACACTACCTTAGTCTTTCTTTACTATTTTTGTCTTACTTGATTAAATTTTGCCATTGTGTTAATTAATACATTCAAAGGACATGCTCTAATTAGTTTCTGTCATAACTGGAAACCACAGTAAGTTAGAGTAATTTGGTGAGTATGGTAGTCTATTGGATAACACCTGCTGACTAGTAGATAATCAATTCTTTGCCTGGCTCTATTCCAGTCTCACTAACTGTGTCTAAAGGTGTGAACCTCTTACCATGTAGGTGCTTCAGTTTCCCTATAAATTAGAAAAAAAAAGCAAGTCTACCTCTATAGTACCTAATACAAAGATGTTTGAAAGATAATGGGAAGTCATTAAAATGCTTTTCAACAATTTATGCTATTTACTAGCTGAAATTTGAAATTAAAAATTCATTGGTTTTAAAAAATACTGTTTAAAATAGTAATTTACTATTCAAAAAGCTCTGGCTCTTTTAGTATATTTCATTGCTTAGTCTTAGAATTTTTATTTTTAGAATAGAGTGTATTTAAAAATCACTTTTACTGTTGAATTTGACAGGCATGGCAAGAGGCCAATCTAATGAGCCCAAAGGGAGAATTTGCAGAGTATACAGGTTAAAGGAGCCCTGGAACTGACATTCCATGAAGCCCAGGCTATCTTTGTTCATTCCTGTTGAGTGGAGGTTTGCTTAAAGTTGACCATTTTCTTCCTTCTGTACCATCTGATTCCAATCTGCACTTGTCTTTTATAGCTAGAAACTGTCGGATGGCAGCTTAACCTTCAAATGGCTCACTCTGCTCAAGCAAAACTAAAATCTCCTCAGGCTGTGCTACAACTAGGAGTGAGCAATGAAGATTCAAAGGTAAGTAATGGTATCCTGTTGCAATGATGCATTTTTGTTTGTTAGGTTTTATTTTTAGGAGGGTCTTTGTTTCTGGATTTAAAATCTAAACATATTTAGTTAAAATTAAGAAAAGATTAATAAATTGATCTTTATTTGTGACAGCTTTTGATGTCACATTTAAATATCACTGTTATTTATCTGAAGAAATAGCTTATATTGCAAGGTACCTTTCTTACTAGAACATTTCATAATGTCTTTTAAATTCTGCAATGAAAAAATTGGAGACAATATAAAATTATGATTTTAATGTTTTAAATATTTCTGGATATTCCTGGGTATTTTGTGTTTTAAGCTGCATACATATGATAGAGGGAGTATTGTTTGTTGTCTAGCCATTGCCTAGAATAATATGATGGTGACCTGAATTGTATTTGTGTGTGTGTGGTATGTGGGCATGGTTTAAATCCCAGATCTTACAAAATAGAATTTTGGGTTAGTATTATACCACATGGTGATTTCTCCTTTAGCATTAATTTCAGAACAACTTGAACATGATTACCAAAGATCAAAGAGTTGCTATGGAATAGTTTTTCTTACTTTGGCATATAGAGAAATATATATTTTACATTTAATGAGAGCTATTATATTTTATATTGTAATTGATTATCTTTTTAATATAGAAAAGAGGGGGAAAAAAAGAGGGAAAAAGAAGGAAAAGAGGGAAAAAAAGTCCCTTCAATAGATGAGACTTTGTCTCATTTTAAGAGAAAATAGAATTGAAAATGAGGTTTTATGGAAGATCTTAAGAAGGAGAGATTATAATGGCAGAATGTGATAAGAGAAAAATGGAAGAAATGTTACTGTTTATAATGGGCCTTGAAGGATGGGGATATTATTACTTTTTTGTTAGTATTTTCACTATTATTTATTATATCATGCACATTTCTGTCTTCAAGAACCTAGACCTGCACCTAGCACAGGTTACATGACTACAAAATTATATAAAATTGACTTGGGTCTTATATTAATATATAATTTATTGCAGCATCTCAAAAGTATCATTTTATTTCATATATTTTCACTGGAAAGTAATATAAACTTAGTAGTTAAGAGTCAAACTGACTGGTATATATGTACAGTAGTTCCCCCTTGTGTGTAGTTTTGCTTTCTGTGGTTTTAGTTATCCATGGTCAACTACCATCCCAAAAGAGATGAATATAGTACAGTTAGTTTGTGTATGTGTGTGAGAGAGAGAGAGAGAGAAATATCACATTCTCATAACTTTTATTACAGTATATTATAATTATTCATATTTCATTATTAGTTATTGTTAATCTCTTACTGTGCCTATTTTATAAATTTAAGTTTGTCTTAGGTATGCATGTATGGGAAAAAAAACATATATAGGGTTTGGTACTATGGTTTCAGACATCTGCTGGAGGTCTTGGAACATGTCTCCTGCGTTTAAAGGGGTACTGCTGTATGCTCTAAAATTTAGTGGTGGTGTAACCTTGGGCATGTTACATTATTTTTGAGTCTCAGTTTCTTCATCAGTAAAATGGGGGTAATAGTTTCTATCTCACAGGATTTTTATGAAGATTAAATACCTAGTATAGGGAAAGTCGAGTGCTTAGAATCATGGTATATGCTCAATAAATGCATGCTGTTACCATCATTAATAAAACTATTTTTGTACTAAAATAAGTAAACCCCTTTGTTTTAAGCCAAAGTTCTCGATTTATTAATATTTCTTGATGAAATGATTACCTTTTTACTCCCCATTCCTTGCATTCTCCCTCCCTTTTTTTCTTGTTTATATTTTGCATATATATATATATATATATATATACACACACACACACACATACATATATATACATATTTATTGGTGAGTAGGAGAAGGAAAGTGTAGAAAGTCCCTTTTTTCCTCCCATGAACTGGGGAAGGCATTCCTTTAGGTTTAGGATAATAATCTGGAACTCACTAGTGTAGATTGGACTATTCCAGGAGTAAAAATGCAAATATACATATATGCATACTCCAGGTAGTTATACATCTTCTTGTTCTTTTTCTGATGACTACTGTATGCTAAGTCTGAGTAGCTAAAAGCATTTTATAGGTTGGAAGGATACTATTTCAACCATATATTGGATATGCTTTAAGTATCATGACTTTGGCAGTGCTTGACTTTGGGTTTCTTAAGTCCTCCTAGCTTCTTTGTAGCTTTAAAATATGCCTATGTGTCTGTTATATTTTAGGTAGTAGGAATGAAACAGTAATGCTTCTGGTAAAACAGCCATGCTTTAGTTTATATTACTCAGAAAGTCAATAATATAGATGTGAAATCTAACTCATCTGAGATATGGGTGTGAGTGCGTTTATGTTTTTATGTGTGTTACTATTTTGAAATTTTGAATAAATATATACACACATGTTGGTTAGCCTTTTAACTTGCAGAGCTAGAACATTATTTTCATTAACAGACACTTGGAAGAAGAGCAACAGCACACAAATGTAAAGGATATTTCCTTTTCATCTTGTATACAGACTTAAATGACTTTTGTCTTTGCATTGTCTTTCTATCCTATGGCATTGGGAGGATTTTGTCCCTATTTCTTATATCTTCTCAATAGTGGACACATAATGAAGTATAGAACGACTGTCAACATGGGCAGAAACATGCCCTCCAAGTGATGTGATGTGCCCTAGGTATAAAGGCACAGTTAACTACTATACTTACTTGCCTCAGTGAACTGCTGCTTGGATTTATTGCTTTTTCTTTTGTTTACATTCTCCCTGTTTTTATGATTTGATATTCTATTCTTTTTACTATTAATTCATCTGGTTCCTTGATGTTAACTTTTATGTAACTCCTGTATTAAGGGCCATAAACTTTTCTGCCAAATATTTGCTCTGTTCTAAAATGAGATTTCAGGAATTCTTGACAGATTGTAATATTAAGCAAAAGGAGTAGGGGTATGGAGTATGTTTTAAAAACTAAATTTGTTAAAGGAAGGGAGAACTTTTATTAAAAAGAAGATTAAAAGTTATCACTGCTTAGTTTATGATATAAAGTACCATAAAGTACAAAGGTGTCATACTTATCAAATTGGTGTTTGTTTAAAATAGGAAACATTAGGTAAAATTCTTTTAAATGTGTATTTTTGCAGGATAATAATCCTGAATATATACATACAGTAAAATACTTTAGAGAGGATTAGAGTCAGTGTAAATTGGGGGAAAATATTTTGATGGTGTTTACTTTTGAGCTATTGAACTGAAAACTTACTGTAATTCACCAAAGAGTGTAGTTTCTAAAGAGCTTTTGTTCTTCTTTTTCATTTCCAACATACACATGAAAAATGTAGCCTGCAGTGAAGTTTTAATTGCTATCACACTAGATAACATTGTTTGACTGTGGTCTCCTTTCTCAGAACATTTTTGTCTCAAGGCTTTCCTGTTTTGGTGCTAATTTTATCATGAAAGCTGGGTGATTGTAGCTTTCCTACAGTATTTTGATATATATTGTAGTTGTTTTCATTTAATTGTCTCAGTGTTTGTCTACTGCATTTAGCGAAGTAAGATTATTGTCCTGTTCTCTGGTTTTTTAAAAAGTTTATTTCATTAGGGGGCAGTAGAGTGCTTTGCTTACCTAACTTTTTCTGGCATTCAGTGTTATTTGAAATAACATTCAAAATAATTTGTGAAGTCAGTAGTTGTGGGAAATGCTAAGTGTTTACATTTCTAATCTGTATATAACAATAGAGTTCTTTTGTTCCCATAAACAGAATTAATGCCTATTAATCAGATATGTATAGGACAAATAAATGAAATCATCATGATTCAGCTTTTAATTTGTATATGATCATTTGCCAAAATGAAATTTAGTAAAAAGCTTTCTACACTATTGACTTTTTTTGTTACATTCTGTTACGTGTATTAATTTCTTTATGATAAAAGGGAATAAAATAATGGCTCTCTTAGATTATAGTGTAAGTAGTTCCAGGCCAATTATAGTCAGCTGAATTTTCTTTATTTATAGAGAATAGCAAATATGTTACAAATGTTGGTAATTTTGCATGACATCAACACTTTAACTTTGAATATCTTAAAAACACTAAAATACTTAAATTTTGCTTTTAATCTTACTGTATTTTCCCAGTGAATTTGCTGTTTAAAATAATCATGTTTTGTTAATACAGGGATTCTAAATTTTATTTGTGTATCTTTTAAGAAAGAATCCTTGCGTTTCTTTTTTTTTTTTTTATGCAACAGGTAGGATGAAATCACCTTGACAAGAGAACTTTCATTTATCTTAATGATAAATAGGTTATAGTCAGATTGTAGCAGGTTCTTTATGGACAGGTGATAATGATTTTTGCTGAATTTAGAACTTTTCATAGTAGTTTTCTGAGTTAGAGATCTTCATTCTTATTTCCAAAATGTGTGACAGTTCTATTTAGTATGAGGAAAAGGGGAAAAAGGGGCCTTTTTTAGAATTTGCTCTGTACTAGAGGTGGTATTACCTACTTTAATATTTAAAACAACTCTTCCAAATATGAATTCTTATTATTATCCTTATTTTATTGATAGATGGAGAAATGGAAGCACAGAGAGGTTAAATAATTTTCCCAGGTTATACAATTAGTAAACAGTAGAGCTAGGATTTGAAACCGGTCAATTTTACCTGAGTCCTATGCCATATTCATCAGTAGGAAACTGTATCATTTTGCTTATTTAATAATTAGCAGTTGATCCTATAAAATGTGCGTATGTTTCAAGGCATTGAAACCTATTCTAAAATGCAAGATTTTGTTGTCGTTCTTTTCTTTTTATAAGATTATCATTATATAGATTTCAAATTATATTTTCTTTTCCTTTTATTTGATTAAATCAAAACAATTTTGCCCTTTTAGTCAATGAGAGACACTGTTTACTTTTATGTAGTAAGTAAAGTCATGTATGATGTCAGTTCAAAAGAGGCTGCATTTATTAACAAATCTTATTGTAAGGCTATA